TCGTCGCGACGGATTATCTGACTCGTTATGCCGAGACAAAGGCTATCCAGAGAGGTACAGCAGCGGAGATGGCAAGATTTTTCATCGAGAACATTGTACTGAGGCATGGTGCACCAACCGTCGTGATCACAGACAGAGGAGCCGCATTTATGGCTGCTCTTCCGGATCACGTCCTCATGCTGAGTGGGACAGCGCATCGTAAGACCACCGCCTACCACCCACAAACGAACGGGCTGACAGAGCGTCTAAACAAAACAATTGAAGACATGGATGTACGTAGACGTTGAACACAAAAATTGGGATGAAATCTTGCCATGCATAACGTTTGCGTACAACACGGCCAAGCAAGAAACGACCCGCCTGACCCCGTTCAGCCTCGTTCATGGACGAGAAGTACGAACTATGTTAGATGCGATGCTACCGCACGAAGGTGACGACTTCGACCCATACGCCAACACGTTTACGGAACGAGCGGAAGAAGCTAGGCAACTTGCACGTTTACGGATCCGCCAGCAGCAAGAGTACAATGCAGGCCGCTACAGTGCTCACCGCAGAACAGTCGTCTATCAAACTGGCGACAAAGTATGGGTTTGGACACCCGTACGGAATCGAGGACTTTAGGAAAAGCTTTTAAGAAGATACTTTGGGCCATACCGAGTGCTGCAACAACTGAGTGAGGTCACTTACAGAGTTGTTCCCGACAGTTCGTTTAGTACCAAGCATCGCCAGCACCATCCTGAACTCGTTCACGTAGTGCGCATGAAGGCTTACGTCAGCGAGTGATTGCGTGAGACTTTTCTTTAAAAAAAAACTGCATTATTGACTTCGCATCGTGTCGATGCTCTTTGAGAGGGAGGCGAATGACCCGTGTTTGCGTGTGAACGACAACGATGATCTGGGGATTTAGCTAGGCCTCTGGCTTGACTGGATAACTAAGAGGACAATCTTGCGGCTCAGCTGTTGAGAACACGCTACTTTCGCTGCCTCAAGGTGTACTTGTGCTTTGTTCGCGTTGTACTGCGACAATATCGAGTATCAAAGATAGTTTCACTCAAGCTCTTAGCAATAGATGCAGTGAAAATTTACAAATTGTATTGCTTTACCACATAAGGCTTGACATCATCTGCGAGAAGCGCTAGAGACAGGGTAGCCATTCCGAAGTTCCGCGCACTCGCCGCACGCGCAAAAAAAACTTGGTGCATGACACAGACCACGAGAAACTCCCGGAACATCTCTTGTATTTAGAAGTACGTACAGCACAAACGGGACGTAGAAATGAACTTCCCAATTGGTGCGATGGTCGTGTTGCCGCCTTGTGAATCAATAGGCTCAATGCATACGCGGCTATATGGCTGCACTCTGGCAACCGAAGCATTTTTCACAGAGTTTTTTTGCATTCAGAGCACAGTGCGTAGAAGGCTATACGAGCTGCCTGTAATGCGAGCTGAAATAGTACGCACAGGCCAGCGATCGCGACCATGCCCTTCAAGTCAAAGTTGCTCTAGCGAAACAAACCCCCCTTGCGTTCCTTCATGCTTTTGAAGATGGGCAAGGTGTCCTCTGCTTGAGGAGGAATCGATGGCAGGCCTGGCACACGGAATGATGTTAGCGCATGCATCCTCTTTGCATTGAATATAGGTTGGCTCTTTTAAAGACGATAGTCTTTCGTGGGGACCTTCGACGCGAAAATTTTGGTCTGTCCGTCTGTCTGTACGTTTTTCTGTCCACTCTTAACGGCACCGGGTACTTGAAACGGCAAACCCCATCTGCAGCACCCACCAATGTTGCTCAAGATTTAGCATTCATACATGTGCAATTCTCAATTAAAAAGCAATTATTACACATGTCTGGGGCATCATAACAACACGTATATATTCTGCATGTGCGCCTTTTACTAGAAAAGGCACACATAAGTAACTTTAAGGACCGTAGCGCTTATCACGTTGTGCTGACTGCAACGCTTGCACAAAAAGACCAGTGTTTCTACCGCTTTGCTAAAACAAGACGGTGGTGCCACCTACCCATCGCCTTGCGTTCTACACCTTATCACCTCTGAGACGGACGCGCACACCCACCTCAGAGCCCCACGCTTTGTTCCAAGAGAACTGCCAGATGGCGCTCATGTCTCACGTGTGCCGTGACTTGATGCACTCTAACGCAGCGCCTTCAGAATACCATTCACCAATTTTCTTGTGCAGAATTAACAAATAAATGTTTTGTTCACTCTCTGCACACGCAAGACTATCGTATTTCGACGACACTTACAGATTAACATGCAGATACGGGGCCAATTTTTTTATCTCTGCTTCAGCGGCGCTCGTCGCCCCCACGCTGTTACGCGCATGTATTACATACGATGCGCGGGAAGGTGTTGCCGATTTAGACATGTAAAACCAGTCGAGAATGTTCATATAATTCTTGCTGTAATTAAAAAAATACAAAATAGCTTTCGCCTTAGAGTTGTCTTAGGTGAATGCAGAACATACCCTGTGAGGATTAGCCAGAGAGCACAAAAGATTTGGGTGTACAGATAAAATGCTATAGCCACATGCAATTTCGCTGCAAAAAAAATTGAAGTTTTTAAATCATGTGGTTTACATTTGAACACGCTTTCTGACACTTCTGCAGAAGCTCAATTCAAGTGTATTTCTATATCTGGGCAATCCCCGGCGCGTGCACCAACGATGGTCTGAAAGCAGTGTGAGAATGCTATTGCTCCTGTACAGAGAGACCTCCGATAGAGGGAAGGTTGGCTTTCTGAGACTGGCCAAGTGATGTCATGTTATGCCCAGCAATATTATCGGTAGTGAAGAAAAAGAACATCTCTTTCTCCTTGTGGTTGTCTCGGGGGGAAATATATTTGGGACAGTGCAAGTCTTTAGCTTTGAGGCATTGTTGTACATTGCAGTGTTCGTCTACCATGTCTGCTGATAACTGTGTAGATGTATTTAGCATGCTATTTTATAAAGTACAATTTTATTGAGCCAGCATTCTGTTTATTTGCTGCAAATATAATTACTGAACAAGTTGTTCCAGAATGCTCAACTGCATGATGTCATCATTTTTGCATCATCGAGTGAAATAGGGAGCGCTCGTAAGATTATTGGCTTCGTAAGATTTGCAGTGATCAAAATATTTCTAGTTCTTCACAAGAGCCCCGAAATAATTATTCATATAATTGAGTATAGATGCAACTTGCTTCTTCAGTGTACTTTGAGATGTGAAGTTAGCTGCTCCAGAATGCTCCCAGATGATAAATCACGTGCTTCAAAGTGCTCCAGAATGGAATATCTTACCGCTCTGAAATGCTCCAAAATGACATATTTTACGGCTCCAAAATGCTTCAAAGTGAAAATTTTGTTGCTACGAAAATTGCTTCAAATTAGAAGACCCCGGTAGCAACACTGAATTGCAAGAAAGTTGAGCAGACTATCCAATCCGATATGGGTACAGAGAATCCTGAGTTAAGTGCTGCCTCGGCAGCACACAATCGATAGTACTGCACGACTATGCTTCATGAAAGAGCATGCTGTAGAATGTTGCAGAACATAGAGGATAAAGTTGTTTATGAACAGCCAGTCTCTGTAGGCCTCAGATATTGACGATAACTTGGTTGTACAAGCTGCGCAGGGCTTTGGTGTCATTTCATCGACAAACAGAGCTCAACATTCCTAACTTGGCAAAATACTTTTGCTCCTGGCGTGTTTTGTCTCCAAAGCACTTCTGTTGCAAGGTGATGGTGGCGGCGTAGCAGCTCTCAGTTGTAGGAAGGCCCGCTATTATTTATTCAGCATCTTCTTTCAAATAAAGTCGCAGGTAATAGAACTTCTCTGTTGCCGTTATGCGGATGTTACTGTTAACAATTTAGTCAAACTCAGACAAAGGAGCTATTGTCAGTTCAGGCAGTCTGACTCGAGTTCCGTCTAATGGCGCTGCGACTGTTTTAGTGATGGTTCTTTCAGTCGTAGTTGACGACCTTAGCATGCTTTTTATGAAGATGAGTTTAGAAGTTATCTTCCATCAGTTCCGAGCGTCCCCGCTTTGTGCGCACTAGCGGCCTTCCGTGCAAATAGTAACTGTGTGTGTGTGTGTGTGTGTGTGTATGTATGTTTGTGTATATATATATATATATATATATATATATACACACACATTTAATTGACATATATACACAATAAAGTGGATGGGGGATGGTCGCGCTGCCAGCTCAGTTGGTAGAGCATTGAACGCGTTAATCAAAGATCGCAGGTTCGGTTCCTGCCCACGGCAAGTTATCTTTTCTTTCTTCACATTTACATTACAATCAGTGCTAATAACTTCCGCTGTAGTACTTTGCTTGCTTTATTGTATGTTAGATCTCATTAATATTGTGTGTAACACACACACACGCACACACACACACACACACATATACTTATGTGTTTTTGTGTGCGTGTGTGAGATTGTCATACTTACATCCATTGTGTATTTCATTTTTTCAACAATAAAGCTTGAGTGATATACTTTTAATGAAAGCTTACATTTCAGTTTAACGAAATTTTTATGTAATGAAGTAAATTGCCAACTTCAGGAGCGTCTTTGTATTGAGCTTAACTAATAAAATATTGCTACTTGGAATTCCATCTTGTATTCTTAAAAAAGCTTCGATGGGACCTTGAGCATGAAATAATAACCTTGAATGCAACCCTTTGATATCTGTATGAAGCTGTCGTGTGTGCTCTTCATTTCATGCACTCTAATGAGTCGCTGCCAACTAGCTTACATCAATGTTCCTCCCCACTATAGTGTGCTTTGTAAAAAGTTTGTAGTATTGATGCGCCAAACGCCAAAGTTTCATTTTTTGCACAGTGTTTTATCTTTCTGTTCTGTGCCTTTTTATGAGCATTGCTATAAACTTCAAGCTTCATATGAATGTTGTAGAGTTGCAAGGAGTTATGCTGGACATAAGAGGACCTTGCGCTTATTGGGTGTGGGTAGCTCAAATGCCGTTGTACTTGCAGGAAGGCAGTTGCATCATGGCGGGCTTGACATACAATGGCAGAGACGAGAATGGCAATGACCTCTGGAATGGCTGCGTCAACATCTCTGTCTGGCGTTACGAAATGGCCACCACATTCGACGACCTGATTAAGTCATTCAACATCAACACCAACCTATGGGTTGCACAGTGCGTACTCACTGTTTGTTTCTCATGTGTAAATGTCATCTCCTTTATTAACATCATGGCTTACAGCACACAAAAAACACAAAGGTTGGATGAAAATGATGCACAAGCACTTACTTGCAATTGACATTTATTAAAAAGATGCTACGGAGTATAAAGGAAACATCATCATCATCATCATCATCAGCCTGACTACGTCCACTGCAGGACAAAGGCCTCTCCCATGTTCCGCCAGTTAACCCGGTCCTGTGCTTGCTGCTGCCAATTTATACCCGCAAACCTCTTAATCTCATCTGCCCACCTAACCTTCTGTCTCCCCCTAACCCGCTTCCCTTCTCTGGGAATTCAGTCAGTTACCCTTAATGACCAGCGGTTATCCTGTCTACGCACTACATGCCCTGCCCATGTCCATTTCTTCTTCTTGATTTCAGCTATGATATCCTTAACCCCCGTTTGTTCGCTAATCCACTCTGCTCTCTTCTTGTCTCTTAAGGTTGCACCTACCATTTTTCTTTCCATTGCTCGCTGCGTCGTCCTCAATTTAAGCTGAACCCGCTTTGTAAGTCTCCAGGTTTCTGCTCCGTAGCTAAGTACCGGCAAGATACAGCTGTTATATACCTTCCTCTTGAGGGATAGTGGCAATCTACCTGTCATAATTTGAGAGTGCTTGCCGAATGTGCTCCACCCCATTCTTATTCTTCTAGTTACTTCAATCTCGTGGTTCGGCTCTGCGGTTATTACCTGCTCTAAGTAGACATAGTCTTTTACAACTTCAAGTGCACTATTACCTACCTCGAAGCGCTGCTCCTTGCCGAGGTTGTTGTACATTACTTTCGTTTTCTGCAGATTAATTTTAAGACCCACCTTTCTGCTCTCCTTGTCTAACTCCGTAATCATGAGTTGCAATTCGTCCCCCGAGTTACTCAGCACTGCAATGTCATCGGCGAAGCGCAGGTTACTAAGGTATTCTCCATTGACTCTTATCCCTAACTGTTCCCATTCTAGGCTTCTGAAAACCTCCTGTAAGCACGCGGTAAATAGCATTGGGGATATTGTGTCCCCCTGCCTTACACCCTTCTTGATTGGTATTCTGTTGCTTTCTTTATGAAGCACTATGGTAGCAGTTGATCCCCTGTAGATTTCTTCCAGAATGTTTATATATACTTCATCTACGCCCTCATTCCGCAGTGTTTGCATGACGGATGATATTTCTACTGAATCAAACGCCTTCTCGTAATCTATGAAGGCTATGTATAGTGGTTGGTTATACTCTGAGCATTTCTCTATTACCTGATTGATAGTATGAATGTGGTCAATTGTTGAGTAGCCTGTTCGAAATCCTGCTTGTTCCTTTGGTTGATTGAATTCTAATGTTTTCTTTACTCTGTTAGCAATTACCTTTGTAAATAGCTTGTATACTACAGAGAGCAAGCTGATCGGCCTGTAATTCTTCAAGTCCTTGTCATCTCCTTTCTTATGTATTAAGATGATGTTAGCGTTCTTCCAAGACTCTGGTACTCTTCCCGTCAGGAGACACCTCGTAAACAGGGTGGCTAGTTTTTCTAACACAATCTGTCCTCCATCTTTCAGCAGATCTGATGTTACCTGATCCTCACCAGCAGCTTTGCCCCTTTGCATGCTCTCCAAAGCTTTTCTGACTTCTTCTATCATTACTGGTGGGGTGCAATCTTGGTTACTGCTAGTTCTTATAGTATTAAGGTCGTGGTTGTCTCGGCTACTGTACAGATCTCTGTAAAACTCCTCCGCTATTTTAACTATCCTATCCATATTGGTAGTTATTTTGCCTTCTTTGTCCCTTAGTGCATACATCCGACTTTTGCCTATCCCAAGTTTCCTCTTCAATGCTTTGACACTTCCTCCGTTTTTCAGAGCGTGTTCAATTCTCTCCATGTTATACCTTCTTACATCGCATACCTTACGTCTATTAATTGACTTCGAAAGCTCTCCCAGTTCTATTTTGTCTGTTGTACTTGACACTTTCATGATTTGACGCTTCTTAATTAGGTTCTTCGTTTCCTGGGAAAGCTTGCCAGTGTCCTGTCTAACTACCCTGCCTCCAACTTCCACTGCACACTCCGTAATGATACTCGTCAGATTATCATTCATTGTATCTACGCTAAGGTTGGTTTCCTCACTAAGAGCCGAGTACCTGTTCTGCAGCGACACTCTGAATTCCTGTACTTTCCCTCTCAGTGCTAGCTGATTGATTGGCTTCTTGCGTATCAGTTTCTGTCGTGCCCTCTTCAAGTCTAGGCGAATTCGAGACCGTATCAATCTATGGTCACTGCATCGTACCTTGCCAATTACTTCCACATCCTGCACGATTCCAGGGTGTGCACTCATTATAAAGTCTATTTCGTTTTTATTTTTGCCATTAGGGCTCCTCCATGTTCACTTGCGGTTTTCTTGTTTTCGGTAGAAGGTATTCAAAATCCGTAAATTATTGCGTTCTGCGAATTCTACTAGTAGCTCTCCTCTGGCGTTTCTAGTACTGATGCCATAATCTCCTACTGCCTGGTCTCCAGCCTGCTTCTTCCCTACCTTTGCATTAAAGTCGCCCATCACTATAGTATACTGTGTTTTTACCTTACTCATTGCCGATTCCACGTCTTCATAGAAGCTTTCAACTGAAGCGTCATCATGGCTGGATGTAGGCGCGTAAGCCTGTACTACCTTCATTTTGTATCTTTTATTCAGTTTAATTACGATACCTACCACCCTTTCATTGATGCTATAGTATTCCTCTATGTTGCCAGCTATGTTTCTGTGAATTAGGAACCCCACTCCCAGTTCTCTTCTGTCTGCCAAGCCCCTGTAGCAAAGGACGTGCCCATTCTGTAGCACCGTATAGGCCTCATCTGTCCTCCTAACCTCACTGAGCCCTATTATATCCCATTTAACACCCTCTAGCTCCTCGAATAGTACAGCTAGACTTCCCTCACTAGGTAATGTTCTAGCGTTAAACGTTGCCAAATTCAGGTTCCAATGGCGGCCTGTCCGGATCCAGAGATTCTTAGCACCCTCTGCTGCGTTGCAGATCTGACCGCCGCCGTGGTCAGTTGCTTCGCAGCTGCTGGGGACTGAGGGCCGTGAGTTATTTGACGTAAGCATGTGGGAGGTAGTGGCCAGATACTGCACCAGGGTGGCCAATCCTTCTCTGGTGAGGGAGTGCGTTCTCGGCGGTGTTTTGCCGGTGAGGCCGCACCCCAGGCCTCTTAATGCAGTTCCATCAACACGCGGATTTTTTTTTTAATCCGGTTGGGAACTGCGCGGTACCGGGATTTGAACCACGGACCTCTTGCATGCGAGGCGGATGCTCTCACCACTACGCCATCGCCGCAGCTGCAGCGATGGCGTAGTGGTTAGAACCGAGACAACCTTTGGCTAAATATCCGAAATATCCGAATAAAGGAAACGCGACATCATAAAAAATAAAAGGCACAAAAATGTGACATGGAAAGGAAGTAGGCCTGAGAACATGCCGGGGCGCCACCATGTGGACGCATCCCTGTGACATGCGTGGTTGGATTGCTCCGCCAGCCCTCTGGTGCGCCACCCGCAGCCGCTATCGTTTCTCTTTTTTTTTATTTTTACTCTTGTTATACTTCACTCAACAAAATCATAAAAATACTGCTGCAGCTTTTTCACTGATTGTACGATGTGCTAAGTAACTGTCCCGGAAAAGTTTTATGCTTTTCATAAGGCCCGACTGTCTGCGTTGTCCGCTATGGCCATTTATATGATAGCTGTGGGGGGCCGAGCGCGCTGCTTTTGTTAAACATAATGACTCATTCTGTGTTGACTTGCAGTATCAAATGGGTATTAACGCGAGCTTGCGGTAAAGAGACTTACGGTATTTTTGCTGAAAGAAATGCGCTCAACCACGCTGCCTAATTCATTGTAGATTTGTACCTAAAGACGGGCCTCAGTTTACATGATTAGCATGCGCAATTTAGCAATTTTGTTTAGCACACATTGCCTTACGAAGCACAGCGCAAGCGGATTCCTTGCTTTGTTGGAAGCAACACAACCTTCTTACAGCCGCATGCAGCCGCAACCTCTCTGTTATGATTGTGGAAAAACGCGAGAGACACACACGCTCGGGCCTCATTCAGGGTTGTAACTAGGTTTCACACAAGGCAAAGTTTCTCTGCAGCATGATACCAATATTTATTGCGAAAATTTTGTACGGTTGTCATACTTTATTTATTTATTTTCAATACTGTCAACTCCAGTTCTAGAGTCATTACAGAGGGCATATGGCAGATAGTATTTGTTCATACAGAGCATAGAGTAATATTCTAAGTAACATATTGATTCAATTACACTATTGGTAAACAACAACAAAATACAAGGAACAATGAATTCTTCATACAGTAAAAAACAAGGAAATATTCAAACGAAAATTTGTTATACACTGTTAGAAAATATGTATATATGTAGCTCATCTGCAATATAGGTAAACCATCATTACCTATAATTGCATCTGACAAACTATTCCGCATTTGATTTGAACTCGTAAAAAAAAAAGAATAAAAAATACTGAAACGAGGGGCATCAATTTAAAAGGCACCAAATTTTTCTGTATGCATGATATCAGAAGAGCAGGACGAATGACAGTGACTAAATTTATTATATGCACAACTTTCTAGCAGCAAACCCAGGAAACTGCTGATTGGTATATATCAAGCCAGGCATTGAATTAGCAAAAAAAATAGAGAGAAAAGAAAAGAAACGAGAAAACCATTATCTTCATTTTACCAAAGGAAGGCGAAAAGGTAGGTCTGGTGTGGCCTGCTACAATGCGCTGTGCTTTATATGAAGGAAAGAGGAAAATCACAACAGTATGCGAAGTATAGCCGCATTACTGTATGTTTCGCATGGTTTCTAGGATTGCGCTGAATGCGGATGGAGTGTCGGCATCAATAACCCTTCCATTCAATTTATTCTATTCGCGTTTTGTTAGTGGGAAAAACGAGTTC